TCCTCCTGGTGTGACTCCAGCTTCTGGGTGACCACGGCGATCCACTGTCTCAGCTCCAGCAGCTGGTGGCTGAAGGTGCAATGTTCCCGCACGCTCTGCTGACACCTGTCCATGAGGTCCTGCAGCACAGCCCAGGGGGCCCAGGGCGCTCTGAGTGCAGGCAAGGTGGGACCCCGGGCCACCCCATCCTGCAGGGCCCCCAGACCTTCCCTGGGGCAAGACGGCCCCCAGGGCTTCCCACCCAGCGGGAACATGAGACGCTGGTCCTCCCTTGTACACAGGACAGGGATTTACTCTGGCAAGACCAACTCTGGTTTAAAGTGTCTATAAGCCTCCTATTTAAAAAAATTTTTTAATGTTTATTTATTTTTGAGGCAGAGAGAGACAGAGCATGAACGGGGGTGGGGCAGAGAGAGAGAGGGAGACACAGAATCCGAAGCAGGCTCCAGGCTCTGAGCTGTCAGCACAGAGCCCGACGCGGGGCTCGAACTCACGAACCACAAGATCGTGACCTGAGCTGAAGCTGGACGCTTCACCGACTGAGCCACCCAGGTGCCCCTAAAGTGCCTCTAAGCCTTCTTAACTTTTATGTGGATGTTACCATGTCTGGATGAGGGTGTGGACGATCAGACCTCCTGTCCACCACTGGCGTGGGTGTAAATCATATGCCGCTTGGGGAAACCAGAGGTCAGTATCTACTAAGACTGCACACAGGCATCCCTACGACCCAACCCTGTCGCCCCTGGCAGACACCTAACAGATACAAACGTATCGTCACCAAAAGGCCCGCATGCGGTGTCGCTTGTAACAGGAAGAGACAGGAAAGCACCCGAGTGCCCGTCAGCAGAAGTATGGATGAATATGTTGAGGTATATTCACACGCTGGGATATTTTACAGCAGGAATGAGCGATCTATGCAACAGTCATTATAATACAGCATTGCGGGTGAATTTACAGCCGGCGTGTGGACAGCTAGGAGCCAGACACACACAGAAAACCATTCTGTGCGATTCAATTAAAATAACGTATAAAGTCAGGCAAACCCAACCCAGGGTGTTCCAAGTCAAACATCAGGGTTGCCTTCAGGCACCAAGGAGTGAGGCCGAGGGGCTTGGGGTTAGAGCAGTATCATGTCACCAATCTGGGTGCTGATAACGTGGATGTGTCCAGTTTTTAAAAATGCATCGAACCGCACAGGGGAGATGTTCTCTTTTCTACATACGATGATGCTTCGATAGAGAGTTTTTGAAAATGGTCCTGCTTTTTTCCCCTCTCCTCTGGGTCAGCCCTTCCCAGCTCTCAGGCTGGGGCCTTGTTCTTCTCCGTCCTCAGGAAAGGAAGGGGCCTGTGCTCCTGGTCACCCAACCTGGGGCCCTCTGAGCCCCTCTCTCCCCACCCACTGCAGGCCAGTGAGACCCCAGGGTCTGGCTGTGACCCCTGGCTTGGGCCACCACAGGCCCACATACTCCTTCATTCAGACACGGCTAGCATGCGTCCCTGGACACCAGGCCTAGAACCCAGGGGAACCAGAGGGAGTGTGTCCCAGCTCTCCTGCCTGAGCCAGTGGCGAGGAAGCTGAACAGCAGTTACCTAAAAGTCCCACTTCTCCGCTTGCTGTGGCTACCACTTGGCCCCTGTCCCATCCGCAATGTCAGGCAATTGCTTTCAGTGGCCTCCGGTGCTTAGTAGGGTCTGTCGAGGGAGGCGGGGAAAATGGCTGAGGAAAGGACTTGTAGAACTTACTGGATAAAAGCCCTGAGTAGAAGCCTGGGTGGCCAGTCGGTTGGCGTCCGACTTCAGCCAGATCGCGATCTCACGGTCCGTGAGTTGAGCCCAGCACGCCGGGCTCTGGGCTGATGGCTTCGGGCCTGGAGCCTGTTTCCGGTCTATGTCCCTCTCTCTCACCCTTCCCCCCATTCATGCCTCTATCTCTCTCTGTCTCAAAAATAAATAAAAACGTTGAGGAAAAAAAAAAAAAAAAAGCCCTGAGTGGGGCACCTGGGTGGCTCAGGAAATCTTGTGGGCGGTGGGGCAGTTCTGCGTTGTGGGAGCCGGATGAGGTCACCTGTCCCTCTCCCTGTATCTGCAGGGGTCACCCCTGCTCTATCATGGTCACAGCAACCAAAACCCCCTATGAGCTTCCAGGAAACGTGGCTCCACCGAGGGAGGCCCGTTGGTCTAAGCGATGCGTGAGGTCTAGATGAACTGATTTAACTCCACCTAATAAATTAGCAGCTAGTGGTCTCAAGATGGAGGTGGGGGAGTAGAGAACTAGGAAATCACCATCCCTGCCCTTTGGGGGCCCACAGAGCCCAGAGAAACAGCAAACACCAGCTTTAATGCCTCTATCCAATGATAAGCCAGATTGATCATGATAATAGTTAATAAGGAGCATTAACTGAGTATGATTAGCGGTTGCAGAACGCTAACATTCCAGTTCAATCGCGCTCTTTAATTATTGCCTAAACACTTCTTCAAGGAAGCATTGTCCCCCTTTTATTACTGTGTCGCTCAAGGCTTTTAATTTCTTTTTTATTTTTTAAAGTGTATTCATTTTGAGAGAGGGGGAGAGAGAGAGAGCACCAGCAGGGGAGGGGCAGAGAGAGGGAGACAGAGAATGCCGAGCAGACTCCATGCTATCAATGTGTAGCCCAGTTCGGGGCTCGAACTCACGAACCGTGAGATCATGACCTGAGCAGAAACCAAGGGTCGGACGCTCAACCAACGGAGCCACCCAGGTGCCCCCAGCCTAGGTTTTCTTGAGGTGTGGCTGCCCGAGAGGCGGCTCCACAATCCCCAGGGCACTTGTTACAAATGCAGAGCCCAGGACCCCATCTGAATCACTTAAATTTGTCCTCAGGCCAGTTTTGAAGAAGCCTGCGCCAGCCTCCCCCACCCCTGCCCCATTCCATTCCCAGGTCTCAAAGGGCCCGGGTGACCACTAGAGGGCGCCACAGAGGAGGCTCCCAGCCGCCGGGGTGCAACTTTCAACCCGCTCTTAACGGGGCTTACCTACCCCCACGCCCACTGCACCCGGGGCTGTTAGCCTGTTCTGTTCCTTGGCCTCCGGGCACACCCGGAATTGTATATGAGCTTGTTGTTTTGCAGACTCACTGTCCATCTCCCCACTGGAATATAACCCTGGGGAGCGGGGCTTTGGCTGTCGGCCTGGTGCCAGCCTCCAACCTCAGGGCCCAGAACCCCCCCACCCCCCACCCCTGCCATAGGGGACATGCTCTCTACTCGTCTGCTGAGGGAAGAAAGGAAGGGAAAAAGAAAACAGAAAGGTTTGAAGGAATGCAGGAAGAAAAGGCAGAGAGCGTAGGATCCCAGGCGCCTGGTTTTACCTCCAGAGACCTCTGCAGGGCCTGGTAGTCGGCAGAAAGCTGCTCCATTTTGTGCTGGTGGGTGGGGTTCCCCTGGACGAGAGGCCTCACGGCCTCCATCTGTGCCCCAAGGTCCAGCCCCTCTTCCTGCAGCCCCTGCAGCAAAAAGGAGCAAGTGTGGCCGTCCTGTTTATCTCCTGTCATGGGAGCTGATGGGGGGAGGGGGGCTCTGAGTGGGGGAGCTTGGGAAGGTCCCGCAAGATGGGGCTCCCCCACCCCAGTGGCGGCACCATATGGCCATCTGATGGGCCTACTCTCATAGCTGGTGAGACTTTTTAAAAGGAGACAGAAATATTCTGGGACACCCTGAAAACAAACGGTTATGGCCTGGAAGGCATCTCTGGGGAGGGGGGGGAGGGTCAAACTCCCGCCTGGATTCTTACCTGATGACCCCCTCTCCTCGTGAAGAATCACGCCCCAACTTCAGTTTTAAAGCCCCCGGACACACCATTTTTAACGTCTTCCCAAGAACCCTCTCAATGTACGTATGAAGTCAAAAGTGCTTGACTTTTAACAGGGTAATTGTATCACACGCATTTAAAATCCTGCAACCTCCTTATCCAGCCCATCATTATTGACCAATCTGCCTATGGACAGTCTGCCTGCGTTTTAACACATTTATTCTCGCTCCCCAAATCAGATCATTTAACTGAAGGCCTCTGTACTCATCAGGAACACTTTTAGAGCAGAGCAATTTTAAAACCGAATACCAACATGACATTTTGCAGCGACAGAGTAAACAGAAGTGTAGCTGATCTTTTCCTGAGGTTCAAGAATTCACAGTCTGCAGGTACTAAAGGTCCCGCAGAGGCCAGAAGCCACCACATCAATCTAGCAGAGATCTGGACAAAAGGTCAGACCTCAGGCGAGGGGCTCGGCGGCCGCTGTCTTCCCAGTTACGGCCGCAAGAGGGGAGCTGCCTACAGACACAGCTGAGCACCTGAACGGGGCCACCCGGGCCCCACAAGGCCCTTACCTGCAACCTGGAGAGCTGGGTCTGTTTCCTAGGAAGGTCCTGCTGAAGCCCGTTCTCAGCTCGGACCCTGCCTTGGAGGTCCGACAGCTTCTTCTGTAGGGGCTCGAAAGCAGCCCCAAAATCTTGGTGCTGAGCCAGCAGGCTCTGCAGAGACACACAACGGACAGCACACAGATTACAGGCACCCTGTACGACCGGCCACTCACGACCGAACTCCGGCCTTCTCCCGGCCGGCTCATATCCACTCCGGCATCACCCCCTCCAGGAAGCCTTCCTGGAGCCCTTGCTGGGGTTGGACGCCCTTCCTTGGAATCACCGTGGCGTCCTCACCGTGACAGTTGCTCTGCTCCCTAGCACAGAACTGCATCTCATAATACGTACACACCAGATCCCGCCGGAGGCCTGTTTTTGCCAATAAAGTTTTATTGGGATACGGCCACGCCCATTCACTTGTAGCCGCTCTCATGCCTCGGTAGACCCGAGGAGCCACAGCCGAGACTGTCTGGCACACAAACCCTAGGGGATTTGCTAAACGTTCGCTACTTGGGGGAGATGAGATCCCGGATGTGAATGGAGCTCTCGGCGAGGGCCCGGTGCCTCCCAGTGCCCGAGAGTTATGTCGTCGTCATCATCAGATGCTCGGCAAACATGTGTTACGTAAAAGAACACACCGTCCTCGACATGCCACGTTACCCCTTCGATTTAGTGCAGTCATTCAGAAATGTGCTCCTAATAACATTAGCTTCCGGCTCTAGGTGGTCGAAAGTTCACAGGCAATTTTCTCTCTGCATTTTCTCATTAGACAGCCCCCCCCCCCCCCCCCCCCCCCCCGGCTTCCTCAGGAAGACTCAGGAAGTGTCGAGGGAGATTCAGGGGCAGGGGTGGGCACAGCAGGCGCCCAGGACGCCAGTTAGAAGGATCGCACGTTAACCGCACCGGCTGAGAGGAGCTGAGACCCCGGGGGACAAAGGGCGAGGGAAGGCCACCCGGTGACAAGTGGTGGGGCCGAGGGAGGAGTCTGGGCCTCCTGCCTCCCTCCCCAGAAGGCTGCCCCCAGGACGGCGGCCGCGACACCCACCTGCAGCTTGCTTTTCCTCTGCAGGAGGCCGTTGTGCAGCAAGTCTCTGTCCCGCACGGAGCTCGCCACCTGCTCCAGGAGGGCCGTGGCTTTGTCCTGGCCGAAGACGCTCCTCAGCAGGTCTTTCTTCAGCTGTAGCATCATCAGCTGCTCCTTCAAGCGCGAGCTTTCTGCCAGGGCCGCCTACAGGGGACAAGGCCTCCGTGACCCCCAGGGCATGGCAGGGCAGGGCGGGACCGGGCTGGGAAGCGGTACCAAGAGCACATCGGTCCTGCCTCAACTTCCCCGGGACGCCGCGCCTTCGTGCCTGGAACTGAGAAAGCGGCGGACGCCGGGAGGAACGGGCTGGCGGGGACGCG